GATATAGTAATATATTAGCAATAGTATGGATGTTACATGTAGGTGTATTACAAGAGGGAGAGAATGCGCAGAAATATGGTATTAATAATGGATGAAGATATAGTAATATATTAGCAATAGTATGGATGTTACGTGTAGAAATGTGGTATTATAATGGATGAGGATATAGAAATATATTAGCAATAGAAACTGAAGTGAGGAAGAATATATAACTGAAAAATTAAATCAAAATTAAAGAAAAAAAACTCAAAATGCCAAAAATAATAATGCTCCTTTTTACAGTGGACTTTTCAGTAATGACAAATAAGAGTACATTCCATGCCGAGGTTGGAGTTGCCTTGCATAGAAACTATAGTTTATCATGCATGGCTTACTCCCAACTTTGACTTGGAAATATCATTGGTGGTCACAAAATGGAACTGTAAAATACTAATAATATCACAGGATTTTTGGAACAATTCCAAGTATCCAGTTTGAAAAATTATAACTAATGTGAAGCTACTCCAAAATTAGTGTTGGTAGGTCGTCGGCACTTTATCTGTAGGATGTTTGTTTAGGTTGTTAGTGGAGTCTTGATAGATTAGTGGTAGACTGAGTGTTGTAAGGTTAGATGTAGGATGCTAGTAGGAAAACAGTAGTTTGTAGGTAAAAAAATGGTATACTGTCGTCCAACATCCTACCAAAACTATTTGGGGTCACATTCTTTCTATTACCATCCTGTCAGATTTACCTTTCTTTTCAAAAGCGGTGATTTTTGAAAGGAATTGTTAATCTTTGCTACCTATCAAATAGTGACAGAAAAAACACAAGCTGTTCCATTAACTGTTCAATAAAAATAAAAATGATTTGTAACATTTTACAACATTTACAACAACAACAACAGTTTATAATTGTATCAAATATTTGTACACCAATAGTGATGCACTGAGTTAAAGAAAAGTACAAATACATTATTATATATTGATTAACAGATCAAAAACAGTTTTCCGTGTTTGATACTCTGATCAAAACATGCGGCATGTTGATAGAACACGAGAGGAGCATAGGAAACCATGATGCTTACCGGAGTGGTTTCCAGCTTCTCATGTGTTCTCTCAACATCCCGCTTGTTTTGATCAGAGTATCAAAAAACGTGAGCATGTTTTGATATTCTCATCAAACATGGTTTTCAACCAATCGTAGCGCATGTACTATCCTAATTATCTCATAATATTCATTCAATTCATTCATGAAATAAATTGGAATAACGTTAAAATCAGTTTTAACAGTTTTAAAACAATTTCACTTTTAAATTAATTTGCTTGCAATTAAGAGCAATTTTTAAATCAAAATTTAGCAGAATTAACTTTTATGTAACCTAAAAATGCTGCATGAATTATTTCAGAATATACTGGCATTTTGGACATAATAGTCCTTTATCAGCATAAAAACAAGTTATTTACAAAGACATTAGCAAATCCTCATCCATAGTTAGTAGAGAATTAGTATTAACAAAGAATCTTTCATTAGATTGTCATTAATTCATTATCAGCAATTAATTAGTGTTATGACGTTAGAATGGTGTTATATGCATGTGCAGCCTGTAAAAAATGAAGACAATCATGCCGCATGCTAGACTAGTAACATAATAGTTAGGCAAGGGCTTAAAATAACTGCCGGACATCAGACAATGTCCAGTTAAATCTTTGCTTTGCTGGTGTCATTTTGACCATTAACATTGACCCAGAAACAAGGTATTACCAAACTAAAACTAATTAGGCCGGCCATTATGATTGGCGACATACTGGGTGTTACTTTAAGCCCTCTTAGATTATATATTCTCCTTTACAGAACACATTAAGACATGAAAAGCATATATGAAATGTCGTCTGAGCACAGATTACCTGAAGTGGCTGAACATCCAGTAGTTTCTTCATCTTTAAGTCTTTTGTTAGTTCTAAAGGTGTTTGACCTGTCACATAACAAATCATTTAAATAATTAATTATGGAGAAATAATTATATGGGAAAATAAAAGGGTAACATGGGTGGTGTACACTGCTAATGCATCATCTTTCACCACTGTAGTTTCAGTCACTGGTTCAAGCCCTGCAGATACCATATATATGTTCCTTGCTAGCAGAGTCTCTCCTCTTTCTCTCCCTTCGTTAACGTGGGGAGGAGGGAGACTCTGCTGATGTAAAACGTTTACTTTGACACACTGCCATCCACAATTGGGGATGAACGAAAACAGTTTTAAAACCGTTTTTTTTAACCGGGTAAATTGTACATGTAGTTGTTTGAGAGCGGCTGTCGAAATCATGACAGCATTGCTAAGTTATGCCACGCACTGGTACGACAAGCATAACGTCCTACATCGGCACAGTCTATTTTTCTCACTCTACCAAAACAAAAGGTAAATAGGCTCTGCTAGCAAGGAACAATATATGTGAATCGTGTATGAACAAAGACAACAAAATCATGCACAACATTCTTTGTTTCTCCACTAACTATATATTGTATCAATAATTTATTAAATGTCAGTCACCTGACTTATTCCTCATAGAAGTGTTAGCTCCATGCTGAAGTAACATTACCGCTATTTCTTTATGACCACTGTATATGAAGAAAATGTGAAGAAATCATAAAAAAGTACTAATATTATGGCAAATTAGACAATGGCAAACCTTTATGGCGTAGTTCCAGAAATTATCCAAATCCTCCATACCCCCTCCCCACACAGAGGGATTTTCTTAGGACATCTCCCCCTACCCCCAGAAATTCCAATTTTCTTCCATACAAACCCTGTAATTTTGTTCTTTCTCTGACCCCCCTACCCCTTAGATAATTTCTGGAACTACACATTCCGAGTTTTGAAGACTAATGTGGTTAAATTTAAGCAAAGTTAACTGAGTTGCTGTTAGCCATTGCCCTCATATCGCGGTTTTGCCCCGCCCACCCTCCTCTGGTTGGACAAGGTAAGTAGTTTACTTCCACTGTGTAAGCAGTGTGACAGGTGCCGAGGTTGACCCGTGGCTTGGTTGCCATGGTTACCTCTTGCCAGCTAGTTGCCATCGCCTACCGCTTTGCCAGGCACCTACTCTCCATCGTAACGACAAGTTAATCTCTCCCTAAGTGGCAACAAGCATTTTGTTCATAGGATACCGAAAATTTCTTAGGAGAAAAACCAGAGAAACTGAATGAACCATAATTCAAAAACTTCCTAAGCACTCCACCATCACAGTACAATCCCCCAGAGGTATTTTATTCTTAGAATACCAAAATGTTCTTTGACTCAACACCACCTGGTAAAAAAAGACACCACCTGGTTTTGTTGAAGGAGAAAAACCAGAGATAGTAAAAAAATGAACAATAAATCAAAAACTTTCTAAGCACTCCACCATAACACTAAAATCCCCCAGTGGTATTCTTAACCCATATAAGAATGACATCAAAGGATATTATTTCCATGTGGATTGTAGTGAATCTCATTTCTAGGTCCAGTACCAAAGTCAAAAATAGGCTCGCACTTGATATCAAACAATGTTGCCTTGGCCGGCATAACTATGATGGATGTTAAGGAAATAAAATAGAAGGGACAACAACATAGAGACTAATTTTATTCAATTTACAATTAATCACACATTATTTAGCACTATTTTCATTGCTATACCTACTGATCAAGACAAACGTCACAAAAGGTCAATCTAATTATTATTATAATCATATAATAATTATTGTTATTTGATTTATGGAAGTGTATTGCCCATAACTAGTCATAGCTTTTGTTTCAATCAGACCCAGCATTGAAAACAGCAGTAATAATTAGGTAAATACAAGTAATAATGTGAAGGATACAGCCATATACGACACCAAATTCCTTGGAATTTGGGCTCCATTTCACATCATATATAGGACCTCTCTTTGCTGTAAAAAATAATGTTACATTTTGTACATATAAGCATAGGAAGCATTCACTCATTTATTCATTCATCCCATCACTCATCATTTATTCATAAGGTCAATCACTCATTCATTCAATCAAATTATAATTCACTTATCTATTTACATTGTAATTGTTTATTCATTCAATCATCCATTTATATCTTAATATACCTACCTAGCTGTACCATACTGCTTTCTCCACTAGTATTGATGTAGTGTAGAGTCTGTTCACCATAATATGATGCACCAGATTTGTCTACATCAGTGATGGCTAGTACAAGAACTGCAGTACCTGAGAAAGACATCCAACAGCAAAGAATTCAAGAACAAACCAGACATGAACATGACTAGTGAATTTGGCCTCACATACCCTTGTCATTCCATTTAATATTCACACTATCTGCTTTAAAGAAACTTTTGTTGGCAAGAACAGCTCCAGGACTGTCAAACTGTGGATGTCTGTAAAGCCTGACGTAGGCTGGAGCTCCCTAGAAATGAAAATTAAATTACTTTGTTAAACAAAAATATTGTTTATAATCAACCAATACATAAAGGAGTATGGATTGGATAAATGAAAAGTGGAATAAAAAATGGGCACAGAAGTGGAAGGGCAAAATAGAGGTGTATGGGAAACAATAAAGTTAGAATGAATGGACGGGTAAATGGATGCATGGAATAGAATTAATGCATGGGATGGATTGGATGAATGGATGGGATGAGACAAGATGAATAAATTGATGGATGAATGGTTAAATGGATTGATGGATAAATAGGAGGGATGGATGAATGGATGGGATGGAATGATAGATCGAAAACTTACAACCAACCTTTGCTCCAGGTACATAGGCAGCTATAGTGTATGGTGCTGGACCTCTAGAAATCTCAAAGCTTCCAACCCCCTGTAGTCTTAACTTGGCAGCGATGGTACCTATGGCAAAACAATTCAAAAGGAATAAAAAGATTCACAGTGAGGTTTCTCTTMAAAATAGACTGCATATTTTTAATAGCAAATTTTTGAATTAGTCAAATACTGTTTTACTTGAATAAAGAATCATTTACTCAGGGTTAGCCTCATCTCAGAGTCAGAATAGTCACAACAATAAAGTAAAGAGTGCACAAATGTAGAAATACTTTGAAATACTATGGGCCTTTACCTAATTTGAAACTGGAGCTAAATGCACTCACCAAAGTTGCCATCATGAAAACAATGAACCTCATTGGTTACAGATCTTGCACACACTTTTTCATTATCAGTCCAGCGTGGTTCCCTAAAACAGTTAATCAATTAATACAGTATCAAGTCATTAATATAATACTTTAATAATGACTATTCTAAATCATTAATAACTCATCTTGTAAATAACACAAACAATGCAGACAAAAACTAACAAAAAAGATAATGAAAAATGGATGTCATAAGATTGAGAATTTTTTAAGTGGTATGCACCATGTCTCAAGTTTCTTCTGTGAAAATGAGGTCATCAGATTCCCAGTTTTCACTTCCCATATTTCAAGATTTTTTATTCCAGCTGGATTTTCTTTCGTCACTGAAAAATGAAAATGAAAAAACACCATTTAATTAACCCCTTTTACACTCAGAATTTTTAATTTGTTTGGTCAAAAAATTGTGTCGCGCGGGTGAACATGTTGAGCTTTGGTTTTAGGGTGGATAAGAAATTTTGGGTACTGTACCTTAAAGAATGGTTAGGAATGGATACAGAAGTATGTAAATGTTACAAAGTTATCATCCAACCTTCGTCAGTCTATAAAACTAGAGTCCAGTAACATCATTTTTGAAACCTTAAAAGACAATTACCTGCATATGGTTCCCATGACGATAGATATGTACCCAATGGTGAAAAGCGGAGTTGACTTGTTTTGGCTCTTGGAATTTTTTGTATCACTTGTCCATCAGCCGTGTTAACAATGGTTATGCTTGAAAGAAAAAAATGGTTAATGCAACAGAAGATTGGAAAAATAAATATACAAGATTAATAAGAGAAACAAGAGAAATGAATGGGCGAATTGCACAGATGGATGACTGGATGGATGAATTGGTTGATGGCTGGGATGAGATGAGATGGGGGGATCAATGGAATAGATGGATGGATGGATTAAGTGTTTAGTATTTAGATGAATGGATGGTGATGGATGGATGGATGGAAGGATGAGATTGGATGGATGGATGTTTGGATAGATGGATGGATAGATGGTTTTATAGATGGATGGATGCATGGATGGATGTGATGGACAGATGATTTATTTTTCAATATTTCAATTACCATGACGAATTACACCAAGCAAACAAGGACCCATCCCGACTGAACGTCATCACCCCACATCTTGGTGAAGTATCCCTGAGTAAACAAATAAAAACACACCATAAATACCAATATAACTACCACAATTAAAGTCTCAAATGTTTTTGTAATTTCCAAGAGTATAATTTGTTTCAAACCTCTCGAATTTTCCAGACTCTTTGAATGGAGAGCTTCCATCGACCATAAAAACTCCTCCAGGGCTTCTAACTGTCATGAAAAAACAAAACAGAGTTTAACATCAATAATTATGACATCCATTTGTTGTCGCAGAAAGGTAATTTTAGAAAAATACGCCAACAAAATACATAAAATATAAAAAAATCTTTCACTCACGTGCGATTTTTGCCACTGGAGCCGCCATTTTGAATCCTGAGAACGAGAGAAACTGGGCAGGAGCACCGAAAAGAGACTATTAGTCCCAGGCTGTYGTTTCTGTCCCGGTCAGGTACGAGGAAAGAAAAAATAAAAAGCAAATAAAAATAAAATATGGATGTTTGTGGACTCGGGATCTTATGCTGTTTAAGACGTTATCAAAAGCCAAGAAACGACAAAGATGTCAATGAGATCCAAGTGCAGCTAGATACGACTCAAATGGGTATGAAACTAACGTCCAACCACTCGAAAATAAATTCCAATTCAACTGAGTTTATAAAGTATTTATGTAGTGCACTCACTAGTAAACAACTCAAACGTAGTCAATTTTGAATTTATATTTTTTCAGGGCATGAAGTTGTGATTGTTAAGTCAGGGAGAAGGATATGTGGATCAGGAGCTGCTCTAGCTAATGCTCCGTTATTACAGAATAAGTGTTATTTTGAAGCTAAGATACAAAGCGGAGGTATGTCGAAATATAAGACACAGCCAGCTGATTATGATAAAAACCGCTTTGTTTTTCGCGTGATTTTACAAATGTTATTGATAATAATTATATTTAGTATTGAAGAATAGTTCTTCCGTTATATTTGTTCACTAACATCTACATGTATACGGAATATTTGCTGGAATTTCTAAGACGAAGCTGACGACTGTCATGACCTTTGAAATACAGTAAGCTTATATTTCCTCCATCACGCATGGTTCACATTACACAATTTTAAATTATAATGTAGCTAAGATGCCATAGAAACTGAAAATTGAAAATTTTCGATATTTATTCTGAATCAATAAGTCAACATTTACCTTAAGATTTCTTTTTCATCCTTCTTACGATTTTTTAAAACTTTTAAATCCATATTAAAGCTTAATGATAGAGGTATTTATTTTTGAGCTTGTGTTGTACACGYGTTACAGATTACGTTGCAGAAGTTGCTAAGTTTAAATTCAGTATCTCACAATTCCATGATTTTTTCCCTCCTATTCCTATCTATTTACCGTTGTCAGACCTYCACAAGGGAGACACATACAGTGTCCTTATCATAAAACAGTAAAGGGACATAAGTGAGATGCATGATACTTTTTCTCAGGAGGAGGGGGAAGTAAATGAGGTACTTATTAGTAGAGGGGGAGGCAGGTGTRAAAAAAAGAGCATGAAAGTGTAGAGATGAGGTATGGTTTTCTTAGGGGTGAGGCATGAGGTATGAGGTTTTTATTTTAATCCTTCATACCCCCTCCCCCTCCCCCTCCCAACCCCCACCCTAAAAAATAAGAAAGCCAACCCTGAATGAAGTTAGTTTTAAATTACTGAAAAAATATATTTTACTCATGCTAGCTATATGTGAATTAACTCCCCCAATGATTGCAGGTGTTTGGGGAATCGGCATAGCAACCAAAAAGTGTGACCTTAACAAGATTCCCCTTGGTAACAGTCCTGATAGTTGGGTACTAAGATCAGATGGGACAGTAGCACACAATAGCATAATACACCACAAACTAACTACAATACCAGAAGAAGGAGATATAATCGTAAGTATACTCATGGCTCATGTAATACCTTTAAAGGCCAGGAGTAGGGACTTAATTAGATTTGAAAACTTTAGTAGACTAGTGACCTGTGTTTAAGTTGTGGCTATTGAGTTGTGGATGAATGGTTGTTTTCTATGCTTATATTTATAGTTTATGACAACCACTCCCAGTACGGGGCTTTTCCATAATGATCCCTCCATACGTGCAACCACTGTATTCTATATTTACAACATACAATTTACATATTGATTCTACGAAGAAACGAAACCAGAGAAAACCCTTGTGGCAAGGGAGAGAACAAGTTACACATCTAAAAAAAACTTAACTCACATATGATCCAGTCTGACCTGAGGCTCGAACTTGGATCAATGTGGTGAGGGGCGAATGATAAACCAGTATGCCACATCAATATTTTTGATCTGTAACTTATGGTATAGTGGTAATTATGTTTTTTTTATACTTTTCAGGCTTGTACATTTGATCACGTAGAAGCAAATTTTTATCATAATGGAAAACATCTTCATAGTCCACTAACAGGATTCAGAGAGACTGTTTATCCAATTATATATGGTAATTATAATATAATTTAGACATAACACGCACACTGATTGGCTGGCTGCTGTGTTTATRTCAGAGGACAGAGATTTGCTCATGAAAAATTGTTCAAAAATACTTTATAAAGCAATATAAAAAGGCTGTTTATGTTTCTGTACTATTTTTTAATATACAGTCAATTCAAAAAACGTTGTCGTCGACCGGCTCAAGCCTACGCGACAGGACCGAAAGAAATATGGGTAAAATTCACTGAAGCGGTTAAATATTCGTTCTGAATTAATTGTTCCCGCTAGTAGTAAAGATAATAATTCAATCCGTCAAATGCATGTCTTCGGGTTTAGGGAAAGAAAGATAAAGTAGGTATGATTCAGTTYACAATTTCGAAAATATGAAAGGCATTAAAAAGACGTCTCCTTCAACACTTCCCGCTCGCCTACGAAGGTTCGTGCTGTAAACCAGGCATAACTAGTAAAGTATAGTCAGATAAAATTATGGAGTCAACTCGGCTTCAACGATTACTACCCAGAGTTCCTTTCGGTCCAGTCTCGTAGGCTTGAGCTGGTCGACGACAACRTTTTTTGAATTGACTGTACACATGCTGGGAGCTTTAGAGCACTCAAAGTGCAAAAGAAACATTCAGCTGTATCTCTCCTAAGTTTGCTTCTCTCTTCCTCTACCTCTACCAATGTGTTTATATCACAGTACAGAGACATGCACTCATGTTTTGTATTGAAGAATAGAAAATGCATGCATGTGCTGTGTGCAGTTATGTGGTTGGCATAACACAAGAGAGGTGTTAGGAGAAGCATGACACATAGCAGAGTGCTTCTCCACACATATCAGTTCTGCCAATCCCCAAGGGCTTTATAACTCCACACAGCAAGCAAGCAAGTTATTTCTTTTGTGGAATACAAATTATAATGACCGTTATTTTGGAAATGAATGAAGCAACTGAAAGTGTGCACATGCTGTGTGCTCACATAAAGCACACGCTCCCAACCAATCAGAACACAAGATTTATAACTGTTATTTCATAATTGGTGTGGCATTTGCATCACCTACTCTCAAACCCTAGAGTCCTATCATTTTTACTGCACATGCTCTAAGAAATGCTAGACTCTCGGAACACCAAATGGTCAAATATAGCTGATTTCAATCAGAAAACATTGGCAGTTACATGTAGGTTTATCCAAAGCCCTCATGTTGCATTTTATGGAAGTGAAGAAACATATCATTAATTACCTTTTTTTCATTTTTCAGTTGATGATGGTACAATAGTCGACGTTAATTTTAAAGACTTTGTCTTTGAGCCACCAAGCGGGTTTACAGGGATAATGTTTGAAAAGTCTCTACTTTAACTCTTAATTAAGTACTAGGTCTTTTGATATCATGTACAGTAATTATGAATTATTATTAGCAATTATTTCCACAGTCCACATGGGCCATTAAGTAGATGAATAAACCCATCTAGACAAGTGGATTGAAATGTCTTATCCAATCATTCCTTTCCAGGCTTACAGGAGTTAAAATGATGGCCTGTCTTCAACAATGTCTGGCTAGAATCAGAACTTGTCTGGTCAAATCTTTGCCTTGCTTGTCACTTGGCTAGCAATATTAAGCCAGAAATGAGTTATGACCGAGCTAATACGAATTTGGCCAGTGATTATGACCTACTTTAGGTCCTGCTTTGAGTATTATTACTTTGTTTACCCCAGTCTAGTGCTTGAAAAGATAACTTAATATTGATAAGACTCAAGGAACGAAYCTAGTTCTAAGAGAATGACACCTGGTCGGAAATGGGAAAATACTGCACCTAAGTGAACTGTGTCTGTCGTTTCAGACATCTACTAAAACTTTGCAAAATGCTACACAAACCTTCCGTTAAATTATTAGTTTTTCTTTACAAAGCTATCACTAATAGAGCCAAATATAACATAGGATTCGAGAGATAAGAATGCAAGAATCTAGTGTGCAGTCAAAGTTAGAAAAGAGAACGAAGAAAAAGTGGTTTATTAAATTWATTAAGTTTTGATTATAGAGCACATTTTCGCATTCATATTTTGTATGTTTTTAAATAAAATTTATTACTTGAATATGAATATTATAAACAAATGTGATTAAGGTGCGGTAATACGGGCAACAAGATCACCCATCAGTTGCGTTGCAGGTTGCAGAACAGCAAGTTGCTATGGCTTCCTTTCCGTGTGCAACAAATTTTCATTAATGCAAAGAGAAGAGTTTACTTCAAGGGCAACAACTTGCGCTCATGCAGAGTGGTCAGTCTGCAACCTGCAACTCAACTTTGGGTGATGTTGTTGCCTGTATCACCGCACCTTTTGTTATACAACACACAGGATTGTGGGAGGAGTTAAAGTATATAAGGAGGGAGTATATTTATGATGAAATAAAATAAAGCACATACTTTGTTTTCAGTCTTTTTTTTCTTTTACGAGACTCCAATTTAATTTCAATTCTAATTTCGTCAATGAATGAGAACAGTCAGATGTTTGTTATTACTGACGGAGGACAGACCATTAAGGTTCTGATACACGGTGCAACATTGCATGCAGCAGGAATGTTGCAGCGTGTCTACCCCAAACATGTTGCATGCAGCAAATCTGAAGTTGAATCGCGCTTTACTTTTGCAACATTGTGCGCAACAAATTTCATCATGTGAACATGGCTGCAACATTACCTGCAACGTTTTGAAATTTCCAGCCAATCTGCTTGCACCAAATTTATGACTGCTGACCAAATATCTTAACATAGCAGGCTGACACAAGCGATGATGTGTGATTTTGTTGCAATGTGTGTCACCCTGATTCAAATTTGTTGCTTGCAATGTTGCACCGTGTGTCAGCACCTTTACAGGTGTGGATCCACATAAACCGTGTTCGAACTCCCTAAACGACACGTATGAACCCCCTTAATTAAAAGCTAGAAGCTGTTTCAATTTTCTTTTGGTTCTCCCATCCACATTCCTTTTCTGGTTTGGTTCGCAAGTTTGAACCCCCCTAGTGAAAATCTTGAAGCCAGCCCAGCCGCATTTAAATGTTCTCCCTCATGTAACACAATACGGTCATCACCTTCAGCATGTTCCGACCATACTGATAATCCAATCGTTCCAGGTAAGCACCTTGTTGATCGGCGTAAGTGTAATGTTTTCTCATTTCAGACCAGCTGTCATGCCCTAAGGTTTCATTTCTATGGTTGCGCATGAGAAGGACATATGAATTAGGATACAAAAAAATTTCTGTTTTCCTCAAGAGAATGATGAGTGTGTGATTAGAAATGGGAAAACATTACGCCCATTCCGCCGGAGCTAGTGCTGATTATTGCCAACCGTAACGTTTATAAATCAAAAGGCACGTGGTCCAAAAAAAATAAATTAGGAGCCACCTTGGCCTTTAATACGAACAAAGCGAATTTTGTCAAGTAATAAAATCCGTACCCCATCAAAACTGTATGCGAAACAAAATGAAAAGGAATTTAAACAAATTTCGTGAAATAATTACTCGCTTAGATGCAAAACACGTCGAGCTTGTTCGATCTGCTTGTAAATTTTCAAAGGAATAATTACTTCGTGATTATTACATGTAAAATGTTTTTATAACAACTTTCTGTTACCTCAACTTTTCATGCCCTGCCGAATATTTTCACGGAACTATTCAGCTTCTAACACCTTAACAATGAAAAACAATTAAATCAAAGCATTCCAATTTGCGCAATACGAGCAAAAACCCTGCACATTTGTATGTCCGAATTGTATCTACAACCAAGAAGTGTCGCCACGAGAACGTCGCCTTCCTCGTGACAACAGATACAAAGGAATTGTTTTGCCTATAAAACCACTTGTTCTCGAAACTCTAAATTTTAGTTCGTTCCTGTTCACCAAAATGGCAAGAGGCCTGTTTCTGTTTCTGGTATTTACGTTAGTTCTTGTTGGCCTTGGACATGGAAGACCAAAGAAGAAAAGAAGTTCTAAATCAATAGGAGGAAGCGAACAACAAGGTAAATGGCTTTTCTGTATTTTGAAAGTTTCGTCTTTCGATATATAGAGCTAAAAAACATTTCGCGTGTTAGAAAATGCTGAATTATACCTTCGAACACGTTTATTAAATGATATTTGCAACTTTTTCTTCTACATTTGAAGACTCTAATAACAGATAGCGTAAACTAGTTTTTCTTTTTCTCTACAAGGTTTTGTCGCCATGAAGACACAACTCCAAAATGCTTTAAACGAGGTTTCTGCACCCGCTATCCTGTCCCTCCTGAGATCTTTGCCGACGTTGAAGCAGAGTATTTGCATGCGCAGCATTACCACGAGTCAATCACCCGTTACTCCGAATACAAAGGCAGCTACCACCACTGCAGCTAACGAACAAGGTAAATAAAATAGAGAGAAAATGAGTGGAAAAAAGGCCTTCAAGTGCTTGTACGTGGTTTTAACTTTTTTTAAATCAAAATTGGCATGCTGAAATTTCGTTTTTAATGAAGAAAAAAAGAGGTAAAAATAAAACCAAAAAGAAGAAAAAGAGCTGTAAGGCACGTAAAAGAGACAAAAAACTTGCAGTTGAAAGGTTTTCCTTGTAATATTTTTGTCAAAGACGTGACAGTATATATTTTCACTTCTATTTTAATGTACATACGCTTTTTAACCATGCGGATAACATACCTAACTCTTAATTATTCATTTATTTGCCTTTAGATTTTGGTTGGCTCTTTGATCTTGTTAGCACTGCACTGGCCCAAACAACGGTTCCAAAAATGAGAAGCGTCCTGAAGTCCGAACCCAGACTGCGCAGAGAGCTTTGCGGTGCTGGTCTATCAACTAGGTCGACCACCCCTTCTACTCCAACACCACCGATACCAATTACGACACAACCTCCTCCTCCTCCAGTGGTAGCGACAAATCCTGAAGTAAAGACCGCAGCAGCTGGAGGTTCAAACTTCGTGGATGTAGCTTATCGAGATGAAGGTCAATCTGGAAACAGAGCTACGGGAGCTAGACCAACTGGTCGTACAAGACCGGCAGCTTCAGGCCAGCCAGCTACACCAAATAATCTTCCAGCTGCGGAGGAACCACTACAAGACGTCTCAAATGATAATGACTACAGCGACGAGTATTTGAGCATTCCAGCTATGAGAAAACAAAGGTCATTGGCGTCCAATGACATTCACGAAGCAGAGGAAACTGGTCCTCTGGACAAAGACGGGCCACCAGAAGTAAGAGCAATCATATCAGCACCGAATGATGTTCGAAAAAATGGTGAAACTGGTCCCCTGGAACAGGAACGAGAAAACCGCCATGACGATGATAAACAGGAGTTCCATATTGCAACCGTGATTCCAACCGTCTTCCCTGCTGAAGATGTGCAAGCAATACCAAGAATGATCATATCAGGATCTAATCTACTCGAAGATGGGCAGTTTGATGAGACCATTGTCATCTATCCAGAATCTTACGATCAGGCTGYTGCCATGGATCTCAAAGAGCAGGAACAAAAGAAGGAAGAAACGCTGTTGCAAGACCAGAAAACTCTGCCGTCCAACGCAGAGACTTCGAGCCAACAAACTGAGAATTCTGCTTCAAAGCAAAGAGATGAAACTAAGCTTGAAGTGACTGGAAGTGAAACTGAAGAAGAAATGAAAACAGAAAACCTTTCATTGGACGATAATGTAGAAGCAAACGATGTAATGGTGAATAAGAAAGAGACGTTTTCAGCAGACGAAAAGCCACAGGAACCCCCTTTAGTTGCAGACGAAAATGAAAAGAAGGAAGTCAGAAACGAGAACAACCATCGCGCCATGACTGAAAATAAGAGAAACCTAGAAATACCGAGTGAAGTAATGTCTAACGAGGTGGACGACCTGAGGCAAGAGGATTGGGAAGTGAAGAAAGCACCGGTAGAAGGCGAAATAAAATATGAAGTTGACGACGACCCTGCTGAGAGATTAACCAAAAGAAAGGCGAACAAGAGACTGAAATTGAAACTCGATAAATTAATAAAAAAGAACATTTTTGCATGAAGATAAAAAATATTATAATCGTTTATATTTAGAGATTTATTTCCACGACCGGACTTGTTTGTTCTGCTTGCTGTAATGTGTGCACAACCGCGTTACTTGGATTTGAAAATGAAATAAAGATATTTGACTGACTTGAATGCATTTTACTGAAAGCATAGCCGATAGAAATTAAGATATGAATATTAATGCAATATGAAATTTTAGAAAGAAAAAAACTGTTAAAAACCCAGAAAATCAAGATTGGCAAGAACTGTATCGAAATTTTTGCGTGATAATAAATGACTTGTGAAATATAGGATGCGTAACAATCAAAGAAATGTAGCCTACCATTGATCAATATTCTCAACCGTTTCTTGTCCTGAAGCTGAGATAGGCTAGTCGATTAACAGAGTTATAAGTTTCGATTCTGGGTTTTCACGATATAAAACATTACCAAAAGTCTAACCAAAGTAACGTCTTATACAAACGAAGAGTGAAGTTSTAACTAAAAAGAAAAGAGCTGTAATTGTCAGTTGGGGTTTAAAGATTCGCAAGCTCCGCGTCCGGCAAAAATGGGTCATGATAGCCTGGGTGGTGTACAATCAGACTCATCCATACCAAAAATAAAAACTTTCAAAATGCTACATCCTAATTTCATCAAACGCTCTTATATTCATTGTAATAGACCCTATAATGACGTTTCATATGTAAACTACCACTGACAATCCTTTTCAAAATCTCTTCTCATATTCAAATGTTAAAACTCCTTTTGAGAATACCAAGACAAGAGTGAAAAATTAGCATAACAAATATCTTACCGCAAAGGATTCTGGAGGTGTAGGACTATAAAAAGTCATCATGCTTAAGGTCTATTGCTGGCTTTCACTTGATTTCATTTCTTGTCTCGTGCTGAATGTTCATTAGCTGAATCGCAAGTTTTCAATTCTTTCTGGCTGGCAGCACATGGTGGTCAGTTGTTTGACCACCATGTGGAGCAAATAATGAGATTCAAAAACTTTTATCACCTGACTGAAAGCCAGCAATTACATTACAAGAGTTTTTCAATGGCATGCCTAATACTTTAATATGACTTTATTTACAAAAAAATAGAAAAAGAATAACAATGAATCATAAAATATTTATATACATATAAGCAAGTGGAAATTGAAAAAACAGATTATATTAAAATTTTCACCTATTCATAACAATGATCAGAGCACTTATATGCTAATCATATAAATTAATTTAAATTAGCAATTTAAAGAACTATAGACCAAATTCAAAACGCACAAATTCAAATTCAAATTCGCACCGATGTGAGGCTTAAGTTGTGAACAAAGGAATCTGGTGTGATTCGTGACTTTTGAATCATGCCAGATTACTTTGAGTCACGCCAGATCCCTTTGAATTTGGTCTATGGAAATTTCTAAATTCCCTATAATAAATTTAAAAACTTCCTAAATATTCAATAATCATAATATTATTATTCATTGAGATTGCTGAAGAAGCTCTTTAGCAGGTGGTAATAATTGTCCAATTGATTGTATAGCATAGTCTGGGATAAACTGTTTTTTAGTGGGGTCTGTTATGACCGAGTCAAGAATTTCAGGAGTTGTGTTTCCTGTGAAAACCAGCAAAGTCTTGGTACCACATTTGTTTCCAAAGAGAATGTCAGTACTAAGCCTATAAATATGAAATGGCTGGTTTAGAGAAGAATGAATGAATATTATAGAATTTTATCATAGAATTTATAGAATTATATTATAGAATTTAAGAAGAATGAATATTATATTTCATCCATTCATCCAACTCTTTATTTTCCTGGCCATTTGAGCATTTGYTTATCCAATTATCCACCCGACAATTACATCAACCAGTAATTCATAGAAGAGATCTTTTAATCATTGTCAATATAAGAAAACTGTTAACTAAAATGTGTCTGAAGTATTTAATGTGTTCTGAACAATCATGAGCAGGATGTATACTACTAACGGATACATTATTGGAACCTTCATAGCAGTTTCTACCAAATTTATCCTTAACATAACAAAACATCTTTTATACTAAGAATGATTCTCTAATTTCTTGAAAATAGAACCAAAATATCAAATCCATAAACACAAATGACTTTGGTGCAATCCCATTGTGGTTAAACACAATTAACATTCCAGATATTATATTTTAGGTGTTCATGGTTTTCTTAGTTTGACTGTAAAATTTACTAAATATGTACTTACGTGTCCCCAACCATACAAGTCCTGGAAGGATCAATGCCATGTCTATAATTTGATATAAACAAAATATTGAAAGTTTTAGAGAGAATTCAATTTAAAGCAGAACAATTTTTAACTTAGATTAATGCCATGGCATTTAGTGGGGAGCTCCAGTGGTGCGTGCTGCTAATGTGCAGCCTCTCACAATGCAACCTGGGTGCTGTGGGTCTTGGTGTTGTATAGTTCTCTCCTGTGCTTTAAGGGTTTTTCTCTGGGTTTCCCAATTTTTCTCTCTCCAAAAAAAATTAAGCATAAACTTAATCTATGATCCTAATTCAATTWAACAGCTGCCTTATCAATTAGGTTACAAAACCTGTTAGGCATTATGCTATCCACCCAGGAGTGATAAATGCATTAGATGTTTAATGAAAATTTGGAGTAGATAAATAAGTTGATACTTGAGAACTGCAAAACAACCCTTGAAACTTTATGGCTTAGGCCTAGGGCAAACGTCAAACTTTCCATGCACCGAACTTAATTACATCAAAGAATGCCGCCTCATTATCACCTGATATCCATTGTTTTTAATGAGTTCGGTGCATGGAAAGTTCGACATTTGCCCTAGGTCTTACTCTTTCATGAAATCAAGCGAAACAATTTCTAACCTAGATTAATGAAGTAAATGAATAACTAAATACAAAAACTATAAAAGCACCAAAGAAAGTGTTGAGTTTAGATTTCACAGTTAAGTAGCTATAGAACATGGCACAATCTACAATGGGGGTGGGGGTAGGGCTGAGATTTGAAATTCTAGTAAAAAAATTACTYGTAAAAATGAGTTTGGAAGCTAGAAAGCCCCTTCTACCAGCCCCTATCCATGCAGTCAATGGAATAAACACAATGTAGTCAACAGGCATATCTTGTTTTTTTCTTTCCCTGATGGGCTGCCTGTGGTGTGTAGATAAAATATGTGACCAGGTTACACAGGGATTCCAAATACCACCTGCTAAGAAGGCTAATGTAAGTTTTACAATGCTTACTCTTTAACAATGCAGTCAAACAAGATACATGAAGGTTTCCCTGCATAAACTGGGCTTCTTCTACAAGCCTTTTCCAGGAAAGCAGCAAAGCAGCCTGTACCTAAAAAACAGCAAAAAAAAAAACAACCAGTCTGGGCATGGCTTAACTTAAGGATCACCCAACTGTCAGCTGTGTGTTGGCTGACTATTGGCCATGCATTGACCAAGCACTGGCCAACAGTCGGACATGGCCAACACATGGCAGATAACAGACCAACACTCAACTGACACAATAAATGCTTTTTCAAGTCTTCTTGTGGACCAATGTATGGCCAGTGCTCAGCCAATAGTCAGGTAACTAGTGGTTAAGTGATGGCAAAGTGTTGGTGAAGTGACAGTACTGATACTAGTGAAGAGTTGAGGATTTGCCATTAGTAAAACCAACCTTCCTGGGCTCTCACCTGGTGCTGTGATGTTCTTATGGGCTGGAACAGGCATCCTATCATCAGGGTTGGTTGCAACAAACACACAGGACTCATCTCTCACCAGATAACTTGTCGCTTTGATGAGTTTTTTGATACTTATCAAATGGTCATATCCACTGACCACCCCACCAACCTGAATAAATATAAAATTAGACAAGTTGATAGAATGGCAGATCTGGATAATACAATACCTCTGATTAGATTTAGCCTAAGTGCAGCCCAATGATAACTCTGCTTAAGTTGACCTAACATTTAGGATGCACATAAAGCCCACGAAAACAGACTTCAGTTCACTCGAACCTCTGTTTTCTCTGCTAAGACGAGAAAGTACATCTCTATAGAAATGGATTTTGTATATATGACAGACTGTGAAAATTCATAACTTATTCATTTATTTTTAATTTTAAATCATGATACAGGGYTCCAAATAGCTACCTGCCAATGGCCAAATGACAGGCCAAATTTCAGGTTTTGCATGCGAAAAGAACGATGCACTTCCACTGGATGAATAATAAAATGACATGCAAAATTTACTGGAATGACTATGGCAGGCTGAAAACATTTTCTATTTCAAGCCCTGTGATGTGGAAAGTCATTGCAGTCTCCATAGCCAGAGGTTAATATTTAAAAATATACAACACATTACTTTACACTGACACTACCAAAATAATTTAATTTCTTAAGCATACTATTGAAAATGCTCATTGAAAATTTATGCAGGGCTATAGAGCCAACTGTCACATAGCATGTCATTGCTGCATATTGTGAGTTTTTAGTGGCCATACAAAATCTGATTTTGTGAGTATTTAGTGGCTATACAAAATCTGATTCATGAAGTACCTCTGGATCTAGTTCAAAATCTTCATTATATCTTTCTTCTGGATCACATATCTCATCAGGCTACAAATAGAAATACAGATAATTAATTTTAATATTAATAAAAAATATACAGGAAAATAAATAATATTTCAGTGTTATACTGATGCCAAAATAAGAATCATGTAAAAGTATAAGTTTAATTTCTTTAAAAACAATGGCCATACCATGGCCATGCCATTACACTATACTTACACCAAATCCAATGTTTGGTATTCCAATTTCATCAAGTTCTTCAGATAAGCCTCTTCCACCAACCATGTAAACTTTCTTGTCAAACTTTATAATGTGCTTCAGGTAGTATGCAGCTGCAAATGCTGCTGTATACACTTCAGATTTATCAGCTTCCATGCCATACTYTTTAAACCTTTTTAGAAAATTATCTCTTGAAACTGTGTTACAATTTGTGATGAAGAACACTTTCTTTCCCTGGAACAGAATCATTAAAAGTTTATCAGAGTAAAAATTGGCTAATGTGTTCAAAGTCTTTCACGCTACTGTATTAAAAATACTTATCAGTGGCATAGCAAGAGAACTAGAACCAGAATTGGATGGATGAGCACACATATTTTGGTGCAAAAATTTCTGCCAAATCCACAGGTATTTGGAAAAAAAAGGGAAATTTAGGGTTTCTTACTCTATGCAAACATGCATCATGTGGCTCATTTGTAGCCTGCATGCAGCCAAACTATTTAACTGTTAAGTTAAGTCTAGAGAACACGTCAGGGGCGTAGCGAGGACCTAGGAGCTGGGGGGGCATTGATCCAAAATTTTAAAAAATTACTTCTTCCCAATAAAACGAATAAACGCTCAAACAAAAATTTAAGAAACAAACATTATTTTATTAACCATTCTTAAATCTTAGGTTGTAATAATTTATTTTCCTCTTTCGTTTCGGTTTAATATGTTTTTTTTGTTGTTATTCTTTTTTCAAAAAAATTTTTTTTTCAAAAATTTTGGGGGGGCACGTGCC